CTCACAGTTTGCAGATGTCTGTGAAATTGACAAAGGAGGTTTTCTTGGTTCCCACTCGGACCACCTGGGGAGGCTTCATCACAAACTTCCTCTTCTCCCCAGCCACCATGTCGGGGTTCTTCTCCCTCATGATGTTGAAGACTCTGTTCAGGAGCTGGAACAGAGACGATACTGTGACTTTGTTTTGTTTTTTGTCTATGTTCATAAAGTTTTCAACACAGAATATAAAAGGACAGAAATTGAGAGCCCTGTGGGATCAGCTGAGGATAAAAATAAATAAAAAAGGAAAGCAGTGTGTAAATCTGTGCTTTTTATAAATACTGTTCTCAGTATTTATATATATTTCCGGTAAATCCAACTTTGTAATTTTACAAACCGTTTCACTCATTTCCTCATAGAACAATAAGTGGGGGATTTTAACAACTCTATTCAAAAAGTACATTTAATGCCGTTAAAATATTCAGTGCAAAACTTCAACATAAATGTAGATCAAAGCACCAAGTTAGTGGACGCTAACTTGGTGCTTTGTCCTACATTATCAGGCCATATTTCACTTTGTTGCAATCCTGACTAAGGAATTTTCATTTTCTGACGTGAACCTTTGAAAGTAAACAAATACCAAAATGAACACACTCATAAAGAATGTGGTTCAGTGTTTCACTATCTGTTTGACAAAATAAACAGGAAATATTAAATGTTAAACTGCTGTCTTAGAAAATCATTGCAATCAAAAAAATAATTTATCATTTTGAAGTGTGTTTCTTTTGCCTCTTAGGAAGGTTGGCAGGGATAGGTATCCGTTTATAACCCTGCCAGTCTCAGGTAATCTTTCATCAGATTTTTTAACCCTGCTAGTCTCAGGTAATGTTTCATCAGACTTTCCTTTTGGACACAGGCTCTATTCAGGCAGAAACGGTTTGCAAAGTAATTCCAGTTTAACAAATCTGTGGGGACGCAGCTCACAAAACCAAATGGGCTGAGGTCTTAATATCAGGACATTTATTAATGAGAGAGAGAGAGAAATACAACAATCTATTATGTCTATGTGTACACAGCCTCACACAGTACAAAACAACTGAAAACAGTCTAATATTTATCCCACTTTACAGGAAATAACTTCACAAACAACTGTGATAACTCTTTTTCTGCCTTTCCTGAATTGTTTCTAACTTTCTCATTTCACGTATCATCCTACCTCGTCGTAGGTGTAGTCTCTTTCCGAACCAGCCCAGGCCGGTCCTGTGGAAGAGCTGAAGGAGATCCCATCACCATTCTTGCCATCATCATCATCCACTGCTGGGAGAAGAAAAAGAAAAATGACATTATGGGTCAAACATTATGATCCATGTCCCTTTTTTCGGTCCCTAGTTTCAAAACCATGTGATTTCATCGTACCGTCGTCTTTATCACCGGAGTCGTTTTCATCAAAATCTACTTTCTTTGGCTTCTTCTTTTTGTTAGGGAGCATCAGATCCAGGTTGTCCTCCTCCATAGCTTCCGTCTGCTCGCCTTCAATTTTCAGCTCCTGGTTTGGACAAGCGAGAAGTGAAACTCAGCACGTGAAAGTTATTGGTAAGCCAATCAAAATCAGAAGCAAAAAGTTAAAAGTAATGCAAAATCAGCAAATGTTTAATCAATGGCTGACCTTCAATCCCTCCTCCATATCATTTTCAAACACTTTCTTGGGTTTCTTCTTCTTTTTCTTCTGGTTGAAGAAGTTTAGGTCGTTCAAGTCATCCGACGGCTCTGGAAAAAAAGAAAACCTCCTCGAGCTCATAACTCTACACAACATAGTTGCGAACTGATACCGCACCTTAAATAGATCTAACCTTTCTTCCTGCCTTCATCTTCATCTAGATCCACCTCCTTGTCATCTCCAGCCTCTGGTTCTGCCTCCTTTGTCTCCACCTCCTTAGCTTCTTCTCCCCCCGTCCCTTCTCCTCCGTCCTCCTCCAGCATGAAGGGCTTCTTCTTCTTCTTTTTCTTCTTAGTCATGTTGGGATCGAAAATCATCTGAAAAAAAAAAGAGTTTAGGAAAAAAATCTAATTAAAATAAATATTGAAATGCTGTCCAGCTTCATTTAGTACAGACACTTTATGGCTGCTTTAAATATACATAACATTGACTAATCCAGCATAAGTACAATTACCAGTGAGAATTACAAGATATATATATTTATGAAAGTCATGTTTCATCAGATTTTTCTTTTGAGTGGCAGTGGGAGTTTGTTTGAACATTTTACGCTTGTGAAATTTAGTTTTCAGTTATGAAAACTGGACTGTGAAAAGACGCTATTTTTTCCATTTTAGGCCAAAAAAAGTAACATTAAGTCATATCAAGGATTGAACAAAGAAAACAACTTAACAGATAACAAAATGTTGCATATCATCTTTACAGACAGAGGCTGGACTCTTGAGTTGATCCAGTGTACACTGAGTGTGTCAGTACACTATTAAGAAACCCTACCTACTGCTGTAGGTTTCTTAATAAGGCTTGAGGTAAAGTAACCCTCCAGAATTTTTAACTAACATATTGCACAGACTGCCCCCATTCAGTTAGAAAAATAATAATAAAAATAAAAATGTCGTACTATTAACATTAAGCAGCGGTAATTCTGGTATTTTGGTTTTATTTTACAGCCAGAGGAGCTGTCCTTAAGGACAAACCGAGGTACAGATAGCTTTTGGTCTCCAGCAGAAAACGTTAACAGTTAGCTCCGCAGCTCTGGTAACGGGAAGCTAAGGCTACATAGCTAGCTTCCACTCTTCTCTGAGAGTCCGGCGGAAGCTTCGACAGCTCGAATTGATGAGCCACGCTCAGAATATATAACGTATATGCTCCGATTAATAGCTGTATATCAATATACTTGATGACTTTCTTGATATTCCGGCTGGCTCGGGCCGTGCTAGCCCGACTGCAGCAGCCATGTGAGCGCTACTGCGGACAGAAAGGGAGGGAGCAGCAGAGTCGAGGCCCAAAGTCATCCCCAGCACCGATATGCGCCTGAAACTCAACGAATTCCGTCCAGCAGTTCTTCACACCTACACGGATTAAACAGCATCTGACTCGGAGTGCCTTACCTCGTCTCCTGACATGTTTGCGTGCTGAACAATGAAATAAAAATGCCTCTTCTTTCTTCCTCGATCAGTCCCACACCGCTTCGCCCAAAATTTCTTGCATCAGCGTATGACTACAGTGCGCAAGCGTGAAGTCGCCAAATCCCGACGTGCTCGTGGTGACACCCCTTTCTGCGCTTGCGCATTGACAGTTTTTAAGGAACGTTCAAGATCGTGACTCAGAAATAATAAACTGGTGCTAAATATGCACGTTGTCGTTTTTATATAGTTCATTTTTTACAATTATAATAGTAAAAACTTTCATTTGTCAACAACAAACTAGTCATTATAACATTACGATAGAAAATAATATTTAAGTAAAAAAAGGACAGAACATCAGCGAGAATAGTACCAGAAAAAAGGAAAGAAAATCAACTTAAATACAATTAAATAATACAGTAAAAATAAACTTGCAAAACAAATTAAAGAATTGTAAACAGCAGTTGCAATCCTGACTAAGGAATTTTCATTTTCTGACGTGAACCTTTGAAAGTAAACAAATACCAAAATGAACACACTCATAAAGAATGTGGTCCAGTGTTTCACTATCTGTTTGACAAAATAAACGGGAAATATTAAATGTTAAATTGCTGTCTTAGAAAATCATTGCAATCAAAAAAATAATTAATCATTTTGAAGTGTGTTTCTTTTGCCTCTTAGGAAGGTTGGCAGGAATAGGTATATGTTTATAACCCTGCCAGTCTCAGGTAATCTTTCATCAGACTTTCCTTTTGAGTGGCAGTGCGAGTTTGTTTGAAGATTTCCTCTTGTCAAATTTAGACAACTGATATAAAGCATAGGTAAACTTGGCTATAACACCTGCTATCAACGCTGTATTGTCGATTCTTTCTTTACAACCTGGAGCATATCTTGTATTATGTATTTCCCCTTCTGATCTCATGACCTTCTGATCTCATAATGATTGTCATAATGTCACAATGACTGTATACAGCCACTGATTATTATGTAAATATTTGCCGCTATGTAGCTAATGTGCTTTATCCAGAATAGTAGTTGTACTTTAAGGGAAAATTATTGAGATCTGATAAACAGGCACCATTTTTCAAAACTACAAAAGATCAGTGAAACGGCAAATTGATTTTCCCTTTAGTTAAACTTTGTTGAATGAATACACAAGCTGCAAATTTTAAGATTTAGTGTCTTTGGAACATACCAGTTACTTCTCTCGTCTTTGTCTTTAAATCTCCTTTAAAAAGATTTTTGTTTTTTGGTGTTATTGTGATGCAGAAAGAAAAGAAAAAAGCTCCAGCTACACAACCCGGAACAAGATGCTGATGTGGTGGAGGACTATAAGTACCTGGGAGTCCACATGAACAGCTGAAGAGAAGATCAGCACAGATCTCAGTTTCCAAAGGAAGCTGAGATGCTGCAATATGCGATGAGACATCATGGAGATTTTCATCACGTAGATGTGACGAGCACAGTGGACTTTACTTTGTTCTGCTGGGGGAGCTGGCGACACCAAAAGAATGAGCAAACTGATCAGGAAGGCTGGCTCAGTGACTGGCCATCCTCTCCTATACTTACCGAACTGCCGCTCCCTCAAGAGACAGATACAGGAAATATTTCATGCCACCACAAGATATCTGAATGGTAGTAAGGTATCTGCCAGAAAATAATAAATTATTATTGTTCATTTTGTCTGTTAAAAAAGATTCTGTCTTCATCGTTTTATTTATGGAGTTATTTTAGAAATACTCTGTAACAAAGCTTTAGTTACCAATTTAATATTAAACTAAACGTGTACTTGCTGAGGTTTTTCTTCACTCACACTTTGTTTCTTTCTCTGGTGATCTGCTTAACTTAGTCATTTGACCAAAAACCAAAACAAAACGCATGAACAGACAATGCTTCCACTACAATGAAAGAATTGAAAACCATTTAATGATTCGCAAATAATATTCTCATCTGGATAAATAAAACATAGAAATGCAAACATGCTTATCCATTTGTCCTCGTGTTACGTTTTCTATGTAAAAAATGTACATCATGTTGCTGAAAAACTAAAGGAATTCAACTCTTTTAAACTCTGAAATGCATGTGTTGCAGATTGGCTATAATCTAATCTTTTATAAACCACCATCTCCCTCTGGATGCAGTTAATAAGGTGTGACAATAGTTTAATATTACTAGTTTCTTTTTTTTTTCCTTTTTCTTTTTAACATACATTTTGAAATGAAAACCTTTATGAGTGGGACACAGACAGAGGAGGATGAAAGTGGTAGGTTAAACATCTCTCTTACTAGCCCTGCGGTGTGACCTGTGTCGTGATTTCCCCACCGTTGCATGCTTCACGCAGCATCAACCAAAGCGCTCAATGGCAGCAGTAATGCAGTGTACTTAAAAAAACAAAACAAACAAAAAAAACAAAACACACACAGTCAGCTGGGATATTTACACCAAAGAACGAGAACCACTGATGGGGTTGGGAGGGTAAGGGGAGAGGCAAAGAAGGAGCGAGCGGCAGGAGGTCGAAGAACCCAACCTGAAATGAAAGAAGAGGTTTGGATTCTGGCAAACACACACAGCTCAAAGCTTCTTCAGCCAGCACACACTCAGCTGCACCTCCATTTCCAGAGCAGTTAACAAGACGAGGAAGCAACGGGTTATTTTGTCAAGAAAAACAAAAAAACAAACAAACAAAAACACAAAAAAAAATTGCCACAAATAGGTAAACGGGAGAGTGAGAAATCGATTTTTTAAGCATTAATCATCCTTGAAAATCCCCCCCAAAATCATCCAGCGATGTTAACAATGACAACAGCTTGGTGAATAACTCCATCTACTGCACCATCCAGCTTATAACACCACCCTGCAACATGAAATCTGTGGCCACCAGCATGGCACACGACAAGGACCACAAAGTGCTGCATTAAAGTTGAGGGTAAAAATATTAGGTGACTTTGTCCAGTATAGCAGACCCTCACGGACTCATTTGTACTGAGCACCTTGGGGGTCTCTAAAGGGGAAAAGGAAAAGAAAGACTACAGCATTGTTGCTTTTTTTTGTTTTGTAGTGTTACACATAAAGTAGACAGTCCACTCTTCTCAGACACACAGAAACACTCAGACACAACATCCCATCAGTCCATTCGTTTCCCTCTTGTTCCTTTCCTCTCCGATGCAGGTGTGATGTGGCGGATGCTGCATTTACATGGCTTCCATCGCCCAGCGCTGCAGGTCCTCCATGTCGTCCTCGTCCTCCTCTTTCCTGGCTGTGGGAGGGAGGAGGAGGACAGAAATAAAAGATGTGATCTGAGGATCCTATCGAGATCTCATCAAATCCTCATTCAGCATTAATCACTTCTAGGCAGTACTATTGTAATTCATTATTACCCAATACTGCTGCAAGAACACTGACGGGGACTAGAAAGAGACAACACATTTCTCCCATACTGGCTTATCTCCACTGGCTTCCTGATAAATCCAGGATTGAATTTAAAATCGTCTCCTCATGTTCAAGGTCTTGTATAATAATTCCATTCGAGCACTTTGCTCTCAGGCACTATCTCTACTTTTAATATTAGGCTTAAAACTTTCTTTTTGATAATGCATATAGTTAGGGCTGGATAAGCTAACTATGAAACCTTTGGGGCAAGTGCCTGCTCATAAGGGATCATCTGATTGAGGGGTTTTTCTTTATTATAGCAGCACCTTTAGCTGACGATAAAGATAAAGATCCTATGAAATAAAGCTCCTTGAGGAAACCGCTGTTGTGATTCGGTGCTATATAACTAAAAATAAAACGATAGCAGTCACATCACTGAAAGTTAGTAATTAACAGTTTGTACATCCTGCGAACAGCGTAAAAATGCTATGCAAATGGTTACACCCCAGAGTTCTTACCAGGTCTGGAAGGTAATGAAGTCGAAGGCACATTGGGGAGAGGGGCGGTCTCTGGTCCACCGATCTCGAGCAGATTTTTGTCCAGCTCTTCCTGTTCCAGCTCATCCAGCTCGGCAAGCAGCTCATCCTGAGAAGCAAAGAAATTCACCCCAAGGATGAAGACCAGCAACAACGTATTCATACCAGCAAAAGCAAAAAGATAATAACTAATAATTAGACTCGGCTATACTGGGTTAACCCAACATCATTATCAGTGCAACATTCATATGCCAAACACAGGATAATAGCAACTGTCTAAGAGATAAGTAATGATATTTCTTAGTCAGGCGTATGAAAACATGCTTATGTCATGTACAGTAAAATCCCATCATCATTAAGAAGGAAGCCTTAGATAAGCAAAGATGCAAAAGGCAGAATGATTTCATTGTGGCCAAGAGGATTCACGGTGGAACACAGCAGAATTTAGAAATGTCTTTAATGTGAATGAGAAAGGATTAGAATAGACACTGGAAACCAGTACCAACTAGATAGATGTAGGGCATAAATATAGTATAAACTAAGTATGGAGCGTATGCATAAATGCACATTTTAATAACTGTACGTGTATGTGGTTGTGTGAGGCTGTGTGTTAAAGCCCAGTGTCTCTCTACTCTCTCTCCGTTGTGTGGTTCAACTTCTTTGCATGCTCGTTATTGTGCAGACTCCTTCTCCTGATTGGACCCTGGTTCTTCATTATTCTGCCTTCTACATCTTCTGATGGACTGCTGCCCCAGTCCTGTGCTCCAATCAAGCTCCAGATGATTACAGAAGCTGTCTTAAAAAATTGTTAATTTCATGTATCTCAGGCTTCTTGTTCGGCTCCACACACAGGTGCTTGCTTGTTTCTAGCTTAGTAACTTGTTTTGTTTCCATCTGGGACACTTGCCTCACCCTGACGATTGTGCCAGGTTTAGTAGAAACTGCACCATGCATAGACTACTCTGTGTACAAACAACAGATCTCGAGGTGGTACCAAAGGTTGAGGGTTTTTTTCTTTTAAATGAAGGTGTAGTCGTTTTTTGTCTCCTGTGCTGTTTTGTGAAAAAAAGAGTCTTTTTTCTTTAATCATCACTACCTGTTTTATTTGGGTACGCTCTCAATTTATGTATTTTTGGTAATAAAATCTGTGAATAAAATGAGGCACTTGCACACTTAGAATCAGATATACCACACAAATGTAAACATAAAACAGCTGAAGAGCTTCACCTACCTCATCAAACTCCTCACCAAAGCCCACAGGTTTAGAGATGGCGTCAGAGATTTCTTGGGCCAGTTCCTGCTGCTCTGTAATGTCCTGCATCAGTTCATCCACTTTGTCAATGTCCCTGAAATAAGAAGGAAAGACTGTGAGCAAAAGACAATTCACTCATATAGGTTTTATAAAAGAGGCTATTTAATCTAAATATGACGATTAGATGTCTGAGTAGTTCTACGGCAAAAACTAAGGAGGATGTCAGGCATCTAATATACATGGCAGTGAAACCCACATACACTTTTTTATGGTTACATTTTACAGATACTGACTGAAATAAATGCATAAAAGAAAGGATTACTGCATGTTGGTGAAATTATATGCATTTCATTATCAGCAAAACCTCCTTGTAATATTTCTGATCATTTCAGAACTGACTGAATCTTCTTTACGCTTGCTTTAGTCTCAGTAACAAAAAGGAAGTTGCAAAAATAATCTGTGCAGAGAGGTTTTGTTCCAGTCCAATCGATCACGCCTCGGTGCTCGCTCTTACATGTTTTCATGAGCAGACTTCATGGCCTTGGCAGCGAAGCCCATGTTTTTGAGCACTTCAGTGTTTGTGTTGGCGTTCTCCAGAGCCTCCCGCTGGAATTCAATGGTGGACAGCGTCCCATCGATCTGCTCGAGCTGCTTCTCGTAGCGCTTCTTTCTTTTCAAGGCCTGAAGTGCCGCTGAGGATCCAAAGACAGGGAGTGGGGTGGGGAGAGTCAGAATGAACAAATTGGCCTTGAAACACCATTTAGTGACAATGGAGAGAAACAGTGAATAATGGTACTTTAACACAGCAAATATTTGTGATACTACCCAATCAGGCTGTCATTCCTGTTAGTCAGCACTACTCTGTGAACCTAGATAATTCACTGCTAATTATTCGACCACATTAGTGACAGTTTTAGCAATACGAAAGACAGTCAAATACAGCCTGCGTGAAGACTAATGGAAAACCTGGAGAGTAATTAATCAGGTAAAGAGGTCAGATGACAACAACCCCTGAAACCTGATAGGCTATACTGATCTTGTCAGAGAAGGTTGTGCTACGCTGAGTCATTCTGTGAACTTTGTGGATCAGAAGAAGGAAGTGATTAGCTAATGTACCATACACTGCAGTATTCTGACTAAAAATTGGCACTAAATCTTTTTATTTTATTTTAACTTAATACATCTGGTGGCTCCATTAACTGTTCATCCATTTTTCTTCTTCCACTTATTCAATTTAGGTGTTGCGAGGAGGGGACTGAGGGCTGGCTGGAACTTATCCCAGCTACCTTAGAATGAGAAGCAGGGGTACACCCTGGACAGGTTGCCAGTCTATTACCGAGCTAACACAGATAACCATAAATCATCAATTGACCTAATATCATGCATGTCTTTGGACTGTGGGAAGCGATGGAGAACCCGGAGAGAACATGGAAACTCCACACTGGCTGGATTTGAACCTGCGATCTTCTCGTTGGGAGGCGACACCGCTAACCATCCTGATCTAAATTAAATTTACTCTGATCCCTAGAAATGTGCTCGATGTCAACAAGAACAATACACATGTACAAATCTATATGGTTGGCTCCACGTTGTGGTAGAACATGGTCAACTTGTATTACAGTTAACTTATAATGAGCCCCAAGCTGTGATCGGCTCACGTAATCATCTGTAAGGAGACTGTGGGACCTGCTGGAGGTCCACAGGTTTCTATACGGACATCTGATCAAGGTGCAAACACGCCCACCTCTCTGACACTTATAACACGTGCTCAACCCTTGTCCTGGCTAACTGGGTCGATATCTTTATTGCCGCTATATTTGCAACATCACACCTAACAGTCTATATACACACCACACCTTCAACCAGGTCTCCTGATTTTTAAACAACCACCTATGAGTCAAAAGAAAACTCGAATATCAGTAAAGGCCAAGGCTAGCGTCCCCGCGGGGCCATAAGTTAACGATGATCACATAATGAAGTCAGTCACACAGCTAGACAGCCGGCCATCCAGACTGGCAGCCATGGCCGTGGTAAAGACGCTGGATGAGGCTGCCAGCAGTTACGACACCTCGGGAAAGTTAGCCAACTCAGCTAACGGGCTAGCTAACGGTTAGCTTGAGGTTGCTGACAACAAAATCTAACAAGCAAGAAAAGAAACTACGGGGGAAAAAAACCCTCGCAGCGTCTCACCTCTTTTGTTCTTTGTGCCGTTTTTCTTTGCGGTCTGCAGCTCCTGTTCGATCTTCTTCTCTAAAAATTCCTGTTTCTTGGTTAGCATCTCCTCCGTCTCCCCGAGTTTTTGGATCGCCTCCTGTGGACTCGGTCCCTTTCCCGATTTTCCTCCTCCTCCAAATATCTTGCCAAATACCGACATGTCTGGGATATTACACAGCGCTTACTATTAGGACAAAACACAAATGCGAGATATCTTATAAAATAAAGCTAAAGCTACGTCTCTGCTAAGCTACTCGGACACTTCGCCTTAACCTGGACCCTGGAAGGGTTGTTGATGTTTTTCCACTTCCTGGATTAGGCCCACTGACGTCATTCTGCCCGGCGAATGAGGGGCGTTGCCTGTTGGTTCTCTGTCGCCATCTGCCTGACAACTGCTTTTAATCCTCTTTAATTCTTGAATCACTCTTCTTTAACAAGGAATAAATTAATAATAATAACAATAGTTTTTCCTCTTTTGAGTTTAGCAGCTGTTGTGCTTTCGTACTTAATGAAACGTCCCCAAACAACAAGTAAAGGCAGTATTTTTGCAGCTGTATAGATTTTTTTGTCCTGCTATTCAAGTATCAAAGTATTAGCAGTTACAGGGATATGCACACCATGCTTCCCAGATTGCATTCTTAACTGAAAGGGAAAAAAATAAACCTTTCACAGAACCAGACAGTTGGGGGGTTTATGTATTTTAATTCATTATGATGCTACATCATCCATGGTGGCTGTTTATTTTCTTCCTTTAGTACAGTATGTTAATAACTTTGCCAGTTATCCTTTGAGTCTTTTTTTAATTTTTATTTACATACAAAAAGAGTATCCAATTACTGTGTGATTACATTGTTGTGACTGTATCTGCAGGTGTGGTCTGAAGCGCTGATGCCTTTGTTGTTTTTAAATCCTTTAATGTAGTGTGTATTCACAGGTCAGTCCTCTCACAGCTGCCCACATCCAGACATATCTGACCCCCTCCCCGCCCAGCCCCATGCAAATAAGCATATATTCATTGTTTGTTTGTTTTTAACGCTTGAGGAAATGAATCAGCCGAGACGGTCATGTGATGGCCAAGATAATACAGCTGTGTTATCTCACAACCACCAGAACTCAACAGGACACAAACGGAAAAGGTGACAGCAAAGGAAACAAAAACACACACACATACACACACACACAAACAAACTGATAACCAGACTCAAGATGGTCCCTTTTGGAAAAGACAGTATTTTTTTGTTTGTTGGTTTTGCTAACATGGATTTTTCAACACTCAAAAAAATAAAATAATCATAATAAATTCAGGTCATTCCATGCAGACTACAGAGTGCACAAGTGAGAATAGCGCATTTGAATATTTTAAACAACAGAAGCAAAGTGTCTACATGACAACACAAGAGAGGAAGAAGAGAAACAAACAAAAAAGGCAAACAACTGCTGTAATACACCAGAGGGCGCAAAGTCAATGCACCATGGGCAAAATTCAAGAGTGGTCAGAACTTGTGTTACATACTCTGATGTGCATGGATAAGTAAGAGTCTGTTTTGCATGACCTGTCCAGAGCTTTGTAGCCAGACATTAGCCTTTTTATTTATTTTTTTCCTGTTCAGCGTAACTCTGTGTGCAAACCTGAGGAAGTAATTAACAAACAAAAAAAAAACAAAACAAACAAAACAAAAACCAAGCATGAAGATGTAAATTACAGCTTTGTTTCTGAAACAAAAAAAACAAAAACAAAAAAAAGGAAGCCAAAAAATAAAATATAAATCACCATACAGAACACTTTCTTTGAAGTCATAATTGTGAATTTACTGAGTCATGATTTTAATGAATTTCTACAGATTCCTTGGTCTGGATTACACCAAATCATCCAATTCAATCATTCAATTAGATTTTCAACAAACACCCCCATTTTTGCTGAATGCAAGAAATCTGTTTGGATTAGTTAGTCATTTTTAAACCAGCCCTCTTCACAGCCTGTGAGCCTCACCGTCTGTGGTCTCCTCGCATAAAAACAGTCACACAGTCCGACACATCATTGCTCCTGCAGGAGGCAACACACAGACAGACACACACACACACACACACACACACACACACACACACACTTTTTTAAAACCCCAAACTCTTTAGAGGACAATACATGAAGCTTGAGTCTAGAAAGGAAAGAAAAAAAAACCAAAAAAAAACGAAACAGTCTTTCACTGATCAACTGTGTTCACCTCTTCTTGCAGATTAATAAGTGGAAGAGATTATCAGAAGAGGGTTAGAGCTTTTTTTTGTTTTTTTTTTTGTTTTTGTTTTTTTAAACAGACAACGTGTGTGAGCAACTTATGAAAACTTGCCAATCAATGAAAGACTTTAGACATTCAGCCAGCGTGAAGCCACTTAAACACACGACTAACTGTTACCTGTGCAAGTTAGGGAAGATCATTTAAGGAAGAGAGATGGACGGAAAGAACAGATCAAAGAAAAAAAAAGAAAGAAAAAAAAAGGGACCTGTGACAAAAATGCTTGCACTCATGGTTTAACTTGGGATAGCCTTCTTTCGTTTTCTTTTTACACCAAACCATCATGATATTGCCTTAAATGTTTAAAAGAAGGAAAGAAACAGATCAACATAAACCCAGAAGACATCCCCGTCGCCGTTGCTGACACGCGTCCTCCCAAGCACGCGGTCTATCCGTCCGTCTGTCACTGTGCTCTGTCTGTCTGTGTCCCTACAGGGCCAGCTTGCCAATGATGACTCCAATCACAAAGAAGAGCACGCAGAACGCCAGCACGCGGGTGCTTAGGCCTTCGTCCCTCACGGCTGTGGTGGCCATGGTGGAGGAGGAGTGAGCGGGGGCCAATGATGTCACCTTTCTCTTCCGCAGACCATCATCCTCCTGTGATGAAGACAAGGAGTCAGAAATACAAATACGCGCTTATAAGTTAACTTTTAATTTGTTAGAATTTGTCACTCCGCATCTCAATGATAGCTTATCAAAAATCTGATATTTATTTTTATATGTTATTACTGGATTTTTAAACAATGTTTACACCAGGATCATTTTCCATCATTTAACAAAGAGCCAGCATAGTGAAGAGTTTTGCTTTTCTGTTGCAAGCAGCTATAACACTGCTGCCTTCAAGTGCTGTCAGAATTTTTTAATTATCATCAAACTACAGAAAACAAACAAACAAACAAACGAAAAAAAAAAAAAAATCACGGATAATAACAATGCCGATATCAAAAGGACAAGGAAGCTTGCGGGAAATTTTATGCCTGAATATAAAGCTTTACATACAAAACATACAATTTTTACAAATGCGCAATGTGTCCCCCTCTCCATGCATGGCATTTGTCCATAACATAGCCAAACTTGTCCCATACTTTTGCAAGCGTGTCTGGAGTCACTGCAGCCACTGCTGTTGCTATGATAGACCCAGTATGATGATTGTATATCATATATGACTGTATGTTTGTTCCCACACTCCTCCTAGACGACTGATTTAATTTTCCTGAAACTACCTATGGTTTGTAGTATGTTGAGTGATTGAAACTACAACATCAAATAAAAATTACTTTTTCTTTTTCAGTGCATTTGTATTTGGAAACTTCGTGACCAAGGCCGGTTCATAAATGTATGTTGTTTTTACGCATCTAAATAAAACATAATGTTTAGGTTTATATCCATGTTACAAGGACACTTTAATGGTCACCAGAGGGTCTAAGTTCTAAGAACTGGCAAGACTTTACTTGCCATCTGGTGTGTCTATACGATTGGACAGCATTATTTGAGAGAGAGGGAAATCTTCCTGGATATTTGCATCGCTGGGAATGGCAGGTGTGGTTGTTCATTCCTTTAAGGTAAAGTACTGACTTGCCTCCGGAGTAATTCCATTTTAATTTCTGTTTCCAATTAAAATCCCCTATTATTCATATTAAAGAGAGGGTTAAAGTGTAACTTCTAGCAAAACTTTGCTACAGTGATCGTGTAGAAGTGTAGTTTTAAACATTGCTCTAAATCACCTTTACTCGCAATTTTGTAGTAATTAACCTATTCAGGTTTATGATTTATAAGCTGGTAAACATTTACACATAACAGAAAAGACATTCATAAGAATCAGCGTAAAGAGCTGACAATGATATGAGCCATACCACATACAGGATGGGGTCACTGCCATTCGGTCCTTTCTTTTCATTCTGTTTCACGGTCCTAATGCATCTCTAATGGTTTCAAGTTGTCAGTAATTAAATGAGGTTTCTTTAAAATCCTCACTGACAAGTCTGACGTAGGCCTGTTCTGAATGCAGTTATTTTCCTTACTTAGATGCTGTCTAGGGACAATTCTCTGGACTCGAGCAATGACAAAAATACTTTGAGAAAACTCAGGCAGTCATTGAGTCATTTCATTCTCTGCTTCACGTTAATGTAGTGCAGCACTAGTTGCACTAGTCAAAATATATTTCCTGGAATAAAACATTTTATTTCAGTGTTTTGTTTTGTTTTTTTATTTCAGACTTGGTCTTGTTCCTCCTATATTTAAGAGTAAACTCCACAGCAATGCTTCTTCTGTTAGCACAAGAGAAGACGAGCTAGAGCAGAAAATACAAGTCTGACTGGAATATGAGACAGACACACAGGCTCTTATTTGTTTTAGCGCGTCTCACCCTGATCTGTTTGTTTTCTTCCCGTAGCCTCTGCACTTCCATCTGCAGTCGCTTGCACTCCTCCATGATCTTCTTCACTTCTCCATCATCCAGCGAAGCACTGGCTGACTTGGGCAGGACAGAGTGCTCAGTCTTAACAGAGGCAGAGGAAGACACAGTTTTGATGATTTCACTCTCATGCTGTGGAGAGAGAGTGAAGATGGGGAGTGGTCGGTGGGATGAGAGTGGAAGAAAAAAAAGGAACGAGGGGACATGCAAAGACAAAGCATGGAGATTAAAGTGGAAGCAAATCACAAAACAAAATAAATCACGAGATGGGTGATACAGTGATGTGTAGCTGATGAATACAAGACAAAAAAAAAAAATGCTGACAGAAGGAAAAAAACTAAAAACTACTACTCCACTGAAACAGAAATTAAATGGTTTAGTCTGATTTTATTCTTTGAAGGGGACCTATTGTGCTTGTTTTCAGCTCCATACTGTTATTCATTGTTGCTGCTAGAGCTCGACATGATTTACAAATTGAAATATTCCTTATTCATCTTATACTTTGCCTTGGCACAGTCAAACAGTTGATCCACAGTCTGAAACGAGCCCTTTTAGTTCCTCACCTTTTAACGCTGCACTCTGTTTTAGCAAACCTTCTTTTGATTGGCTGCCTCCTCTCAAACAGAAGGTTTGGGCAGCTTGGTGGGGTTCCCGTGCTTTCAGCCAGATTACTGCTTACAACTTTTCTGTCACAACAGGTCCCACTAAATACTCAGTCAGCATATAATCTGTTACTACAGACAGCTATTATTATGTACTTAAATCAATGAAGTACACAGTGGAACAACCGTTTGTGGAGCTCATTTGGGGTGTGAAAAAAATGTGACTGAATGTTTAAAGTGATGTGGCAAATGTTGAAGTGAAGAGAAACACTTACAGTTTTGTCATTTTCTAGAGGCATCTCAAATGCACATCTCAACTTTGAATCCATCAGCTCTTCAGGCTTTGCCTCCTTCCACTGTTGACAAGAAAATGAAAAAGGGAACCTTTAGATTTTTCTTTTTTTTGTATCACAACTTCATTTTTCACTAATATCCATACTTCAAAGTAAATTCTCAACAGAAATGACCAACTTTACATTTTCAGGCTTAGGGAGCTGCATAAAAATGTATACATTTGTCAAACAGTTTTAAAAAAGCTTTTGCGGAATGAGACAAATACATTGAGTGAGCTACACTATTCAAGTGTTCAGCTGAAGATCGACTTTTGGAAGACACAGATGCCACTAACGCAACTAAACAAAACAAAACTCAGGGCCGAGAGGCAATGTAAGAAATTTAAACCCTTCAGATTCTCCAGTAATAAGGTATCTCCCCCCCCCCCAAAAAAAAGGAAAATAGTATGCTTAGGTACTCACAACTCCTTCCATGTCAGTCATGTCATATGGAGCCAGCATGGACTGCACCATGAATTTGTGTTTACTCTTTTCATTGGGGTCATAGTCAAAAGGCTGTAGCATAACTGTGGGCAAAAACAAAGACAGAATGAAGAAACCAGCATTTGCCTGTCTCATAAACCAATAGAACACAGAACACATTACATGTTGAAAATGGAAACAAATGTACAATGTCAAGAAAAATATTAGCCATTTTGAATTTGAAGAAAATCGCTGAATTTGAAGAATTTGTAGCAACATGTCTCAAAAAAAGTTGGGACAGAGCCATGTTTACTGTGGTTTACCATTCCCTCTTTTTTTAACAACAGCCCATAAAAACCAGAGGAAATGGGACCAGTTGCTGGACTTTCAGGGGAGTAATAGTGTCCCATTCTTGTCTGTTATAAGCTTCTTGCTGTTTTTGGCTGGTAAAAGGTCTGGACTGCAGACAGGCTAGTTCAGCACTTGGACTCTTTTACTAGAAAGTTATGCTGTTATGATAGCTGCAGTATGCTGTGTTTTATTGTCTCGCTGAAATATTCAAGGCCTTCCTTGAAAAAGACGACCTCTAGATGAATATGTTGCTCTAAAGCTTGTATGTACCTTTCAGGACTTATTGTGTCTTTCAAGTAGTACAAGCTAGAGCAGGGTGATAAGACCAAAAATATTTATCACGATATACTAGGGCTGCTCGATTATGGCAAAAATGATCATCACGATTATTTTCACTGAAATTGAGATCTCAATTATTTGACGATATTTATTTAACCCTTTAAGACCTACCATAGAACCAAGTCCGCCAGAGCTTATATTATTATTATTTTTATTTTATTTTTTATTTGTTTTACACGCTGTAGTGCCA